AAATTTTAAGAGAAAGTCAGTCCACTCATTTTTAATGAACTAAAAGAAAAAAGGATTATCTTAACTAAGTTACATGTGCATGTACAGTATGCAACATACCAATCGTGTACCAATCGCTTGATAGTTTGAACTCATTGTCAAAAACTTTACATTGCATTCAAAGGGTTAACTGGTAAGGAGTACATGAAGAAAATAAATATAAACATACAAATCTCGCGCATGAAACCTAAGTTGAACTTGATTCTGTGCGAGCATGTTCATGTACATACAGTGTACTCATGCTTTGGCAGTCTACTCACAAGTTGAGAGTGAGAGTGTATTCAAGTTTGCAATATCTCCTTTAAAAGTAACATTTGAAAGTCATATTTTGAATAATACATACTGTATACCGGTAGCAACATGAAACCATTAATATACTGTTAGAGCAAAATAAATGTATTTCTGGGTGATTTGTGCACTTTAATGCTTCCTGGAGTACCTGGACACATGGTTTTTAATTTGACTTTGTTTAAATTATTGTTGGGTGCAGAAAGATCTGTACATTTATTTTCAGAAATTGATAATGGTAAACTTGTGGAAATGTATCTCTTAATATTTTCTCCAAAATTCTTAAAATGTTCACATGTACATTTACCAATTCAGAATGAAAGAAATAAAATAATAATCTTTTCACAGTTTTTACAAAACAAGATATTGACATCTTTTGTGGCGACTCCTAACGCATGTTTGGATTCACCATGTCAGCTATTTCATCTGAGTGAATAGCAAAGAACCCAGTCCTAAGAAGCTTCAGTTCACGACCGATATCTGAGAGCATCTTATTCTGTGTGTCTAAAGCCTGTAAATAACGGTTCTCAAATTCACTCATACCCTCTGGCAAGTTCTCTGCTACAAGTGGCACGTTGCTTGTACGGCTCTTCTTGGAGGAATGCTGTGGGGCATCGTGAGGAGTCTTCATCGGGCGCTTGTGCGATGTCCCGGGATTGGAGCTTGGCATCCCTTCGTAGGGGACGGACGCTTCCGTGTACGTCGCATGAGGGGTGGACCCATTTTGTATGACGTGAAGAGGGATATAGTGGGAACCAACACCTGGAGATGAAGCTGATCCTTGTGGAAGATGAAACTGTGGATGCTGTACTAGAGAAGGAAGCGAGGAGATGGTAGATAGTAGTCCTTGGTTTGCTACCGAAGCATGTACATTAGTGGCAACAGGAGACTGGACATGGCCATGAGTAGTGCTTGAAGGGCCAGATGATCGAGGAGTGACATGCTTCAGCTGGGGAGCGTGGGCCCTGTCAGTTGGTATCATTACAACATCCTGAAGGCCTACTGGTTCATGTTGCCTTAAGGCGGAAGCTGAAGGCGGTGCCTGTATGGTTACCATAGATCGTCGCCCTTGTGGCTTTGGAACCCTGGGCAGTGGGGGCGGTGGCGGAGTTGGAGATGGTGGATCACTGTTAGTATTGCCAGTACATCTAGCTTGAGATGACATACTCATCACCGATGTTATCTGAAGGGAGTCTTCTTCTTCCTGATCCCTAGGCTCTTCCTTCATGTCCGCATCAATGACCTCTATATACTGAGGGCTGTCGTCATCTTCATCCTCCCCTTCAGGTATGTGGACCAGCCTGTCTTGTTCATCCAAGGAGTACTCCATTAACTTAGGCAGAGGGAAATTTGGTGGATCCTCATTAAGATAAATCCTGTTGTACTCCTCAAACATCTTGAAGACGTTGTTGGATCCGCGGAGCTTCATCTTATTGCGATCGCAATTTGGATGCACCTTCATCCATTCTCGGTAATCCCGGCCCAAGTTCTTGATGAAGTTCTCCACTATCCTAGGTGTGGCTCCTATCTTCTCTGCCAATATGATGTAAACATCTATGAGTTTAGCATAGGTCTTGTACTTGTTGTGCCGTGTGATGAGTTCGTTGAGGATGAACTCCATTCTCTCTGGGGTCCAAGGAAAACGGGTGCCTTTAAAAGCATGGTTTATGTCGCGTGGTTGACTCATGGAGATCTACAGTTGAAGGATGAGAGTAAGGAACAAAAAGTGTTTAGATGATACCCTGATAACAATGGCAGATATATACTGTATATCAAGGATATGTTTGTATATATGATTATGTCAACATGATCTATTGTATTGTACATTTCCTATTTTTATATCGTTGAATATTAAATTAATTGAATTGATAGTTTGAACATATTTGTGGCTTACACCCAGTAAATACAGTGTACATGTACATGTAAGATCGATTGATTGCGATCTGTAATTGAAAAAATTGATCTGTAATTTTTCAATTACAGATTGATCGATCGATTCAAATGTTGATAAGAATTTGAGGTATTCTATGGCTGGTCCATGATCTTGGGTCGAATGGTGAGGTATCAATTGACCGTGCTTGTCAAAACCATGCAGTCTTGAGACTAAAGTTGATATCCAGAACTCAACCCTGAACCCTCCTCACTGTTTCTCATTCTTTGTTTTCATTGTTGGACAAGAATGTCTATGAGATTCATATATTCATTGACATATTTTGAATGGCTACTTGCTCTATCTTAATCTGTTAAATGAATACATGCCCATCCAAGCATGAAAGTTCAAATTTTGATCTTAATTGACGTTTTTAGAGTATTGATTTTTGATAAATTTGATTTTATTGACAGTCACAGAACAGAGTGTAGTGAAGAACCGTTCTGCGGTGTACAGTATGCAGGGACATATGGGTACATGTACTACCGGTATTATTCCCACAAGTTTAATACATGAGTATGTACATGTATGTTTTAGAGTTACTACTGTATACGGTATTCAAATTTGAAATACAGAAGTAATATTTGAAGCGTACATTTGAATACAGTACAGTGCCACTGTGCCAGTGGAACCTCGTTATAATAACAAGGTCCTTGGGAACATAGAAATTACCTTGTAGATACCTGTACCTCATCATATATCAAGGCTCTTTACAATGAGGTTCCACTGTATTTGAGTGGTTGAGAGCTCTTCATGTGACCAGATATATTTCAACTATTTTAAGGTTGCTCTGAAAAAGTACTATTTTGGAGTACTATTTGGAAGCAGAAGTTTGGAAAATTCAAAAATTGGTTGGGATAGTTTACTGTTAGAGGGTGTTGCACAGTGACGCCTTGAAAGAAAAGCATAAATATCTTTGTGGTTTGAGAATTTTGTCCGGATTTTTTTTCATGTTAGAGAATTAGTACAGTTGAAGGAATATCATACATGTACATGTACAGTGTACAGTATGTAAAATTTCAGCCTACTTCCCTTTTTTTTTAAACAGACATATACCGGTAGACAACAGAGAAAAATGAGATATACATGTAACTTTCCTTTGATGACACTTTCAGAGTAATCATACTGTCAGAAACTGTCCAATATGAGGTTATTCAAGTATTTCAACTAAACTGTAATTTCAACTATTCAAGTAATATTAACCATTCAACTGATTTTATTTTACTCTTTCAATGTAAAATGGGAAAGCTGTGATAAACATGTAGCCTGCATTACTTAGGCTGCTTAATTTACTCTAGAAGACATCCAGCCACGAATCGTAGACTGATGTACATGTACTGTATGTGTTGCTTACACTACAGCCTTATACAGACATCAACATTCAATGGTTCTGCATGCATGTACATTGTACATTCATGTGTTCAGCAGCAACCCCTAATTCTATGTTAATATAAAACTCTTTATATTACCTGTATATCTTGATGGGTAGCTGGAAATGAAGCAAGAGTAGACTATGGATACAATATTTGAGCACAAGTGCTTTGAGCAGCTTCTCTCTAACAGCGATAGGCAAATATATAATAAGGTTGTTATAGGTTGGTAGGTCTGCTCAATGGCTGCTAAATTGTATTGAATGCATAATGCCTTGTGAAGGGGATCTCTGTGTGTGTGGTTGTGTGTGTGTGTAGGGTGTGCGTACACACTTCCCCCATTCAATGCCTGCTTTTGTAAGTTGAATGGGGAAAGTAGCACACAAAGCCCTCGCTCTGTGCATAATGCGCTCACACTGAGTGTGAAAAAAAGAGGCTAACACACACCGTACTATATTGATTTACGTGATGGAAGCTCTGTCATATACACTGAAGTGCACCAATGTATACAAAAATATATGCTCTTGCTCATGCATTGTGAGCACTGTACAGTCAGATATTCAAGACAGTTCGTCTTTGAATGAATATTTCTTTTGTTGTTGCTGTTCTTTTTTTATACTCCTCAATCTGATTTCATACATGCAATCATGGTGTTATATGTACAACTGTATATATGTACATGTACATAAGTATATAGAATGAATTTACAAATGAATTTATCTGTCTCTGTCCCTCCCTCCATCTTTCTTAATTCTCTCTTCTTCCCTCTTTGTCTGTCTGTCTGTCTCTCTTTCCCTGTCTCTCTCTCTCTCTGTTTGTCTGTCTCTCTCTCTCTCTCCCTCTCTGTTTGTCTGTCTGTTTATCTTTATCTCTTTCTCTCTCTCTCTCTCTCTCCCCCTCTCTGTTTGTCTGTCTGTTTATCTTTATCTCTCTCTCTCTCTCTCTCTCTCCCTCTCTGTTTGTCTGTCTGTTTATCTTTATCTCTTTTTTTTTCTCTCTCTCTCTCCCCCCTCTCTGTTTGTCTGTCTGTTTATCTTTATCTCTTTCTCTCTCTCTCTCTCTCTCCCCCTCTCTGTTTGTCTGTCTGTTTATCTTTATCTCTTTCTCTCTCTCTCTCTCTCTCTCCCTCTCTGTTTGTCTGTCTGTTTATCTTTATCTCTTTCTCTTTCTCTCTCTCTCTCTCTCTCCCCCTCTCTGTTTGTCTGTCTGTTTATCTTTATCTCTTTCTCTCTCTCTCTCTCTCCCCTCTCTCTGTTTGTCTGTCTGGTTATCTTTATCTCTTTCTCTCTCTCTTTCCCTCTGTCTGTCTCTCTGTCTATATATCTCTCTCTCTCTCTCTGTCTCTGACTCCCTATGTCTCTCTCTGTGCACAGGATAAGACGTTGTACAAGGTGAGATGGAAAGGGTACGGGGTTGATGACGACACCTGGGAACCCAAAGACAACCTGCTTACCTGTGAGGATCTCATAGATGAGTATGTCGCCAAGGAAGAAAAGAAAAAGGCCACAAAGGTAACTCAAGCAACCTCATAACTCAAAAAGAAGGAGTTCTGGTATACATTTAGGTGGAAAATAGTTTGCCGGCCAGCCTACTCCATTTGGAAGAGTATGATGCAGTCAGGGGCGTCGCTAGACCTTTTTCAGTGGGGGGGTGTAGAGGCTTACGATTACCGACAAAACTAGCCACCAATTACCGACAAAATTAAATGTCCAATATCGAAAAATTCAACCCTATAAACCTGGGGCCGAAGGCTAAATTGTTTTTCCTATGGACTATCTCTTGTACTTGCATATGCGCAAAATGGTCATTTTCCTCGACGACATAAATATACGAATTATTTCTTCAATTTAGTCAGCATCATAGCTAGACATTTTAATGCAGGCGCGGAGCTGGATCTTATTTTAGGGAGGGGCGGTAGTGAGCAAGAGAATCACTTAAAGCGCGCTCATTAAGGGGGTGTGGGTGATTGGCCTCCCGCGCGAAGCGCGGAAGCTTAGACGTTTCCTTAAATTATTAGGAAAAGAAGACGATTAATATAATACCGTTTTCGACTGATAATCCTTGGCTCAATGAAGTTCCCCCCCCCCCTCCCGCGCGAAAGCTTTGGCGTTTCATTGAATTATTATAAAAAAGAAGACGATTTGCTCTACCGTTCTCGACTGTTTATCCTTTTCTGAATTCAGTTCCCCCCCCCCCCTCCCGTGCAAAGCGCGGAAGCTTTGACCTTTCATTAAATTATGAGAAAAAGCAGACGATTCGGTGTACTGTTCTCGACTCTTAATCCTTATCTGAATGAAGCTTCCCCCTCCCGCGCAAAGCGCGGAAGTTTAAACGTTTCATTAAATTATTAGAGAAAGAAGACGATTCGTCATAACCGTTTTCGACTCTTAATAAGGCCTATTCATCTGAATTCAGTTTCCCCCTCTCGCGCGAAGTGCGGAAGCTTTGACGTTTCCTTAAATTATTAGAGAAAGAACACGATTCGTTGTACCGTTTTCGACTCTGAATAAGCCCTATTAATTTGTCTGAATTCAGTTTACCCCTCTCGCGCGAAGCGCGGAAGCTTTGACGTTTCCTTAAATTATTAGAGAAAGAAGACGATTCGTTGTACCGTTCTCGACTTGTCTAAATGAAGTTTTCCCCTTCCGCGCGAAGCGCGGAATTTTTGGCCTTCCATCACAGTATAAAGAAAGGAAGAGGATTCGTCGTACCGTTTTTGATTCTTAAACCTTGTTTTTTTTGCGTTTCATCACAATATAGAGAAAGGAAGACGATTCATCGTACTGTTTTCGACTCTTATTAAGCCCTATTCATCTCAATTCAGTTTCCCCCTCTCGCGCAAAGCGCGAAAACTTTGACGTTTCCTCAAATTATTAGAGAAAAAACACGATACGTTGTACCGTTTTCGACTCTAAATAAGCCCTATTAATTTTGTCTGAATTCAGTTTCTCCCTCTCGCTTTGACGTTTCCTTAAATTATTAGAGAAAGAAGGCGATTCGTTGTACCGTTCTCGACTCGTCTAAATGAAGTTTTCCCCTTCCGCGCGAAGCGCGGAATTTTTGGCGTTTCATCACAATATATAGAAAGGAAGATGATTCCTCGTACCGTTTTCGAATCTTATTAAGCCCTTTTCATCTGAATTCAGTTTCCCCCTCTCGCGCGAAGCTCGAAAGCCTTGACGTTTCCTCAAATTATTAGAGAAAGAACACGATTCGTTGTACCGTTTTCGACTTTTAATAAGCCCTATTTGTCTGAATTCAGTTTCCCACTTTCGCGCGAAGCGCGGAAGCTTTGACGTTTCCTTAAATTATTAGAGATAGAAGACGATTTCGTTGTACCGTTCTCGACTCGTCTAAATGAAGTTTCACCTTCCGCGCGAAGCGCGGAATTTTTGGCCTTCCATCACAGTATAAAGAAAGGAAGAGGATTCGTCGTACCGTTTTTGATTCTTAAACCTTGTTTGAATTGAGTTTCCCCGAAAATGTTAAACCTCTGATTTCTTTAGCTGAACTTATAGGAAAGTGAAACTTCGAGAAAATACAAGTATTGTAGTTGTAGTCACTCTCGAAATGGTCACAACGGATAAGAAATCACAGTTCGTAGGGAAAAAACTTGTCGGCCGACCAACAATATACATCTCACCGACTTTAAACTTCTGCGTTGATATAGTACACGAGGATCGAGCAAGAATACCGACACAGCTGACACGACACAGCAACATATTTACCCGTGTCTTGCTTGCTCCCTCGACGAGACGACTCCACCCAACAACCCCTTCTCTCTTTTACTCCCACTCCTCCTCTCTCAGACTCTTATCTCCCCTCTCTCTCCTCTCTTTCATCCCCCGCATTTTTTGTTTCCCTTTCACTCTTTTTTCTTCTTTTTCCTTTTCTTTCTTTTCTTTCTTTTCCTTTCTTTCCTCTCCTCCCTCTTTTTCTTTTTTCTCTTTCTTTCTTCTCTTTTCTTTCCTTTCTTTTCCTTTCTTTCCTTTCTTTTCCTTTCTTTCTTTTCTGTTCCTTTTCTTTTTTTCTTTTCTTTTCCTTTTCTTTTTTCTTTTCTTTCCCTTTCCCTCTCTTTTTTCCCTCTCTTTTTTTTCCCTCTCTTTTTTTCCCTCCCTTTTTTTTCCCTCTCTTTTTTCCCTCTTTCCCCCCCCTTTTCTCTTTTTCCCGACGGCAGCGCAATTTTACCGACAAAATCCTGACAGGTGGGGGGGTGTCGCACCCCCCCACACCCCCCCTTTGGCGACGCCCCTGGATGCTGTCGAACCTGCTTTAGTTTAGCGACCACCTGTATGGAAATTATAATAATAATATTCCACTTTTATAGTGCTTAACAAATGTCTCTATGCGCGTTACAGATATACTAGTATTTCCCTGGTCATTGGATTCAATACTAGACCACCTGTCTATATAGACAACATTTTCTGTTTCCCTTGAACATAGTTTCTTATTGAAACATGTAGTATTAAAATGAACCTGTACTTAAATACCACTTGTCTGTAACCCTTACATAGTTTCTTATTGAAACATGTAGTAAATGTACCTGAAGATAAAGACCACCTGCCTACAAAGACCACTGTTCATGTCTCCCTTGAGCAGTCCTTACATGTATATACAGGTTTCACTATAGAAGAAATGTTTCCTGAAGTAGAGAGCTCCTCAAATGTCCTCATTGTCCAAATGTGATGAGTAAAAACTGAAAAGTTTGGACCAAGCTTTCAGTTTCATGCCATATCAAGTACATGTAGTTGACGTATGACTTGTTATTTCTATTTCTTTATTGGTACACGTATTTTAAAACACAAAATAATTGTTTTCAGTGTGTACTGTGTAGGTGATCAAGATTTATTCTCTTCAAATCTTATGTTGATTTTTCAGAAATCTGGGAAAGGTCAGCCAGCTGAGAAAGAGACCAAGGCCCCTGCTAAGGAGCGGCACGCTCCGAAGAGAAGCTCAGGTCAACCTAAGAAAAAGAAGAAACGGAAACAGTCTTTATACGAGCGGGAAGTTCCGGCTGACGAGGAGAGGAGAGACAGAAAGAAAAGTCACAGTACAGATGAGGAAGGGGATGGGAAAGAAGATAAGATGGCAATGAGGAGGGGGATGGGGATAAGGGTGATGGGGAAGAGGGGATGGATGTGGAAAGAGAGGGGGCAGGGGTGAAGGAGGGAGGGGAAAAAGAGGCAAAAGTAGACATGACAACAGGGATAAAGCAGGAGCAACGGGAAAGTGCCATATTGGAAGCTCCGGGAAAGTCGAGCGAAAGTGGAATGGACAGTCGAATTAAGGAGGGAATGAGAAAGGAAAAGATAAGGATGTCAATGAAAACAGGGAGAGGAGGGGAAGGGGGAAGAGGGAAAGGGAAAGGGGGAGGAGAAAGGGGAGGAGGGAATGGGGGAAGAGGGAAAGTTGAAGGAGGAGGAGGGTGAGGATGGGAAGAGGGAGGAGGGAAGCAGGAAAAGGGGAAGGGGGAAGAGGGAAATTTGGAGGAAGGGAAAGGGGGGAGGAGGCAGGGCAGAGGATGGATGTAGACGAAGTGGATGAGGAAGCACTGCTGAAGGATCCATTCTGGGACCAGCTGGAGAAAGGACTCATAGAAGTTTCATTTGAAACCGACATGTATTCAAAGGTGAGCACCCCTTTCATGTAAATAATCTTCAAGGGGAGGGGGGGGGGGGGGGGAGATAATGTGAAAATTTACCCCCCCCCCCCCCCCCCCCCCCCAGTCAGAATATGGTTCAAGATCATGTACAGTTTTGGTAAGCCCGTATTGGGAGATCAATTGAAACAATGTCAACGCATACTACACATTGTGTAAAACCTAGATGTATGTATGAGGGTTGTGTGTTTGCGACAATGCAAGTGCTGACCCTGTTGAGCAGGGAGACGTCGAGGTGGAAGGGACCCAGTATTGTATAGCTGTGATCAAGTTTCTTTTCAGTTATTCACACTAAAATACAGATGAAATCATGGATGGACTATCAAATAATCTTGCCCATGTAGCTTTTTTATACAACTACAAGGAGAACATTGTGAGACTATATTAAATGTGTTTTGTGCCGATTTTGTTTTAGCTTTCAAAACTGTACGTGAACTTTAATTCTTTGATATGAACAGGTGAAAAACAGGAGAGCCGTGTTGGATGCTAAGCGGGAGGAGAAAGAGAGCAAGCAGAAGGAAGATGAACGTAGCAAGAAGAAGAAGAAAAAGAAGGAACATAAAAAGGAGAAGAAAGCTAAGAAGGAGAAGAGGAAAAAAGACAAGCACAAGAAGACTAAAAGGATGGTAGATCTAGAAGTGAGTTGTTCTGCCTTGTGACGTTCTCGCTAGTTAACCCAAGGATTTCCTTAGTTTACTAATAGGAGAAAATATGACTTACAAGTGTTATACTAGTAGTAGTAGTAGTAATAGTAGTAGAAGAAGTAGAAGTAGTAATAGTAGTAGTAGTAGTTGTAGCAGTAGTAGTAGTAGTAGTAGTAGTATTAGTAGTAGTAGTAGAAGTAGTAGTAGTAGTAGTAGTAGTAGTAGTAGTAGTAGTAAAAGTAGTAGTAGTAGTAGTAGTAGTAGTAGAAGCAGTTGTAGTAGGAGTAGTAATAGTAGTAAAAGTAGTAGTAGTAGTAGTAGTAGAAGTAGTAGTAGTAGTAGTAGTAGTAGAAGTAGTAGTAGTAGAAGTAGTAGTAGAAGTAGTAGTAGTAAAAGTAGTAGTAGTAGTAGTAGTAGTAGTAGTAGTAGTAGTAGTAGTAGTAGTAGTAGTAGTAGTAGTAGTAAAAGAAGTAGAAGTAGTAGTAGTAGTAGTTGTAGTAGCAGTAGTAGTAGAAGCAGTTGTAGTAGTAGTAATAGAAGTAGTAGTACATTTATTGGATAATTTGTTTACTTTAAGCACAAGGCTCATTCGCTCAGTGTCTATAAATACTAGTAATGACCGTTTCTTTGAATTCCTCTTGATTTCCTCCCCAAAGATGCTCGGCTCGTTAGAAAGTGCCACAAAGCGCACACTGATGATGAGCCCGTCTGCCCTAGACACCTCGGCCAACTCGGCCAACATGTACCGGTCATCAGTGCCCTCTGAGCAGATACTGACCATAGCTCAGCTGGAAGAGAAGTCCAAAGAGGAGAGGTCAGCCTCTGTCTCTGGTGGCACAACCCCTTGCAAGTTGGAATCCATGGACTCCAGCTCCTCGTCCAGTTCCAGCACCATATCTCAAGAGGTGATGCCCGTTTCATGTCAAGTTTTCCTATTTTCTTTCTTTTATTCTACAGATCTACAGAATTTACATTTTTTTAAATTCATTATTGAATGAAAAAATATCTATGGATTCTGAGAGTTTACTTTGGATCATGCTCGTAGTTTTACCATTACACATGTGGTACACTGAGTAGTTTCCTACTTGCAGTAGAGCTATTAGGATGTAGAAGGATTGTGAGGTGGAGGTTCAGTGGTCTACTGTGCCATGAACATCATTATTGTGATGGATACCGGTGCATTATAAGTGTTCAAATTATTATTATTATTATAAGCCATCGGACTGTTGATCACAAGGTACAGGGACCTCTGCCACGGCACTAACATCCTTTGGAAAGACGATAATCTGGATTTACCAAATTTGACCCAGGTTAAGTAGATGGGTACCGGTAGGATGTAATTCCTTGTATGCTTTGGCATCTTAATCAGGGCAGTTGGGCTAGAGCCGGGGTAATAATCAAAAGCTCTTCCGAAAATCATAGAGATATATTATTAAATGAATGTAAAATGTAAAAACTAATTCTTTCTTGATAACGCAGAACAAAATTTTTGTATTACTATAATACTATTGTTCTCTGCAGATGACCATTACGCCAGACTCACCGTCACCGGACAAACCTGCTGATCCACATTCTGCATTCTTTGGAGACCTTTGTAAAACAGAGACCAAAAGAGAGATCCTGGACCTCCAGGAGGAGACCAGCGAGCTGCATGACTTTGCCAACATCCTGCCCACCCCAGAGGTAGACGAAGCCGATCGGCAGATCTGTGATGCTGTCCTGACTCCCTTGAGTCCATGTGATGTTGATAGGGGCTTATCAGGTTTACCCAGTGATGCTAGTTTGCAGGATGGTGCTGTCCTGAATAGATTAGGAGAAAGTGACTCTAAAAACTCCTTGCAGATATTTTCTAAAACAAGTCCGCTCCTGGACGATGAGACTATGAGCAATCTACCCACACCTCCTGAAGTGGACAATCGGTCAATGTTCACTATGTTACAAAGTGGTAATGGAACTAAACGTGCTCTTGCACAACAGCAGGAATCTACAGTAGGACAGTCTGCTCAAAATAATGTATATAATATGTATCAAAGTGAACAGTGTAAAGTTGATTATAGAGTGCAAGAAGTGAACTTGTTTGGAAATTTAAAGCCAGCTACGGGAAATGTGCAAATGGATGTGAACAGTGCAAAGAAAGGTGGTACAGGAGAAGTAGGAGGTACAGCAGGGAGTGGGATGCAAGGAAACGTTGTGGAACCTGCGCCATCAAACCAATTTCAGCCTCCCACGCCCCCTGCATCGCTTTTCTCCTCCTTTTCTTCGGCTGTTCCGAAACCCTCCCCTCTCATGCCCCTGAGTGAGGGAACCCCAAATAGAACTCCAGATCTGAAATCTCCTCTGAACTCCCCACTTACGCCACACACCCCCAGCACCAGCTTCACACCCCAGGCCACACCCCAGGCCACACCCCAGGCTACACCTCAGGGTATCCCCAGTCCTAAATCCTACCTGGCAAGCCAGAAGAGCCCTCCATTCCCCAACACCAGTCCAAGCGGTGGCAGGAATGCCTTTGAAAAGATCCAGACATTTCAGCTGACCTCTGCCCATGGAAGGAACAGTGCCAAAGTACAAAGCCTCAAGGATAAGCTCAGTAAATATGTATCACCGACATCAAGAAAAGAGGATAGCTTATCCAGTGAGAAAGGCATTGGTGATATCGGTAATGACCAGCAGCAGCAGCAGCAGCTGCAGAGGTTGCAGACAGGACAGTTGTCGGAGCTACGTGTGGACACCAGTCTTGCCAACACCTTCAAGTCCTCAGAGATTGCCGGTCAACCCCAACCTCTGTCTCAGATAGAGAGACAGATCCAGAGGATAGAGATGAGGGAAGGTGATGGGCCTCTGGAGAAGGGGCAGGAGTTGAGCCATCCTGTGCCTGGCTCGTTGGCTTTGAATCAGGACAGCGGGATACCAGAACCTCAAAGACAGGACTCCATTGAAGGTATGTCAATGCTATGGCTGTAAGAGTATGAGAGATTACTCTGAGCTGGAAACATATTGGGAACATTTATGACTTATTTGTGTTTGTTAGAAGTCACACAGTGGGGAATCATATTTTCAAATTTATCAGAACATGAGAGTGAGACACAACAGGGTACTTTATTCATTCATTTAGATGTCAAATTTGGCAATTTTTTTTTTTGCCTTTGATTTAATACTAATCTAAAGTGTTGAAATCTCTTTTAGTATTATTGGCACACTGAATCTATTTTGATGTTCTTCAAGATGTGCATATCTACTTGAAATCTTAATTGTCTATTTCCTTCATCCATGTAAATTTCAATGTACAGTGGGCCTTTAATAAAAGATAACATCATTTTTAGAACACCTACCCCTGATTTTTATGCTTTCCTTAAATGTTAAAATTTCTATAATGTTTGATATGCATTTGACTGAATACATATTCATTTCCTTTCATCTCCACCATCAGGCCTCATTGGAAATCAGAATGGCGTACCCTCCTCTATTACTCCACAGGGGATGGGATCATTGGCAACATTTGGTAAGAAAAGATTCCCTGATGTTGTTGGACCAAAAGCATTCCAGAACCCAACATAAAATGTCGTAACCTTCCTGTGTCGTTTCAACATTCATTGCTGAAATTATAAAGTCATTCCTAAGCACCACAAATTTAGATAACTCTGCATATGGTAAGGGTCATTCCATAAAGTTCATGCAAAAAATATGATGGTGTCCATGTAACGTAGGTATGAGATCTTTTACTACACATGGATTTTATCTGTTGGAGATTTTTATACAATGAGTATACTGTACATGCATATAGTAATGCCCTACCAGAATCATTCCTGTTGCAGTTGCTTTTCTTCAAAATCTTTGATTAATTCACATTTCTCTTTTTACCAACATTACATGGATGGACACCATATTCATATAACATTACATAAACTTTGGGGTCCATCATATTGATTCTCCATGAAGCTTGAGTACTTCTAAAGATAGTTGGCTATGCTTTTTATGCAAAACTCATTTTGAGCAAACATTGTTACAGTTGATAGGAGACATAGCTTCTCACTTTTGGCATGTCACAAAAATGGCCCCAACTTTCTGGACAGACCCATAACTCAAATTCGCACATATCAAATTTTCCCCAAGTCGAATGAATTTTTGTAACAATGTAGTTCCGGTATTCATTAGATAATGCCAAATTCGCTGTGTACACAAGTGTTCAGAAATATGAGGGATATATTCATGATGTAGACAGTGTCCTCACTTGACATTGCCCCACCCTTCTCATCCAACTTGTCATTTCCAGAGGGTCTCCGTCAGGCCATCAAGACAGGCAACACCCAGGCAGTGGTGCACATGCTGCAGCAGACCGGTCCTAGAGCGGTGGAGGAGGTGGATAACATGGGCACCACACCGCTCATGCTAGCCTGTTCACTCAACCAGGATGATATCGTCAAAGCACTCATCCTCAATGGGGCCATCGTCAACAAGACACACAAGAACGGCATGACGCCTCTCATGATGGCTGCAGAAAAGGTAGCACTCTTTCATTGTTTGAAAGAGGAAAATATATACCATATTCTGTTTTATAGTCCCCTTCAAAATGATTTTTATTGAATTATTATTTCATCTGCTCCTTTTTGTTAAATTTGTCTATTGTATTCTTTTCTTTTTTTTCTTTTTTTTGGGGGGCGTAATCCTATCATTCATTTTCCTTCAAGTAGTCGTTAATATATCTTTTAAATGTCAGTCATTGATTCATTCAAGGGTTTTATATCTGACAGCCTGCATATAAAGGCCACTTGCCCATCAAGACAACCCTTTTCATTCCCTTGAATAGTCTTCATGAACCAAAGTTGTTTTAATATTTTAGTATTTTAGCTATGCCGAAAGCTTACGTAGAGGTGTTGTGGTCTAGTGGATAAGTCGTTGGACTCTTGATCACAGGGTCCGCGGTTCGAGTCCCGCCATGGCACTAATGTCCTTTGGCATGATATTAATCTACATTTGCCACTCTCCACCCAGGTGTTATATGGGTACCGGTAGGAAGTAATTCCTTGAATGCTGTGAGCGCCGAAATCCACTGCCTAGCAAAACCGGGGTAATAGTTGGAGCGCCTTGAGGACCATGCATGGTGTCTATGTGCGCTATATAATCCAATATTATTATTGTTATTACATGTATATGTACTAGGTTGTGGCCTTGTGGGTTGACGGTTTCATTCTGATATCACAAAAAACTGCTCTTTCCTCTGAATCAATTGTGGCACCTCTTGTCATATTCCATGTTTGTTTGTTGTTGCTTTTAGGGATTCACCTCTACACTGGGTATCTTGCTAGAAGCTGGAGCATACATCAACTCAACAACACCGGCTGGGGAATCAGCACTCATGGAGGTAAACCATTCACTTTCTTAGCTGATATATCCAAGCTCTGAAAACTATGATTTGTGCATAATTAAATTAGAATAATAAAATCAACTTTAGAAACTTGACCTTGCGTAGTATGGTTTGATGCTTAAGACTATGAAGAAAACAAACAAAAACAGAAAACTTGCTCATTTATGGGAGCGGAACAGGTGCACACAGGTATATCTTGTAAACCACATATACATGTGTAGGTGATTATTGATCTTTGTTGCATGTGGCCCCTTTTTGTAACCTTCAATTCCAATTCATAAAATGGTTTTCATTTTGTCAGGGTGGTTTTGTAGTTGGATTACTGACTTATATGTTAGCAAGAGGTGTGAAGGGATTCTCTGTGAGATGTGTATTTCCCAAAGAAAGTAGGCTTCTCAGGGCAATTGCCAACACATCACAATTTAGGTACCATGGTATAATGATGGTCATACTCCTTGTTGTTATGATTTTTTACTCAATTATCCTATTCAATTTTTTTTTAGATACAATGGTCATTCTATTTTCAATACATTTATCTTTTTCAAATGTACATTGGAGAAGTAAATGAAATGAAATGAAACAAAATACTGACAATGCAAATTATCAAATTCCTGAGACACTCAAACCCATTTGTACATATGGTTGGTAAAACCTGGTTGCTAATGTGAAAAGACAAGGCACAATCAGAATGAGAAGATACCAACTTTGAAAAGGGTGCACAGCCTGAAAGTGCTTCATCTTCTTTATTTTCCTGTTTTTCTTGTATGTTGAAACTTGTGTTAGTGGCCACCTCTCTTTAAAGTCCACCTGTGTATAGTGTGTGTTGTAGAACCTGTCTCAAAAGTCCACCTGTCTACAGTGACCGCAATCTCTGTTACCCTTATATGGTCTTAAAGGTAAAGACCAGTTCTGGTCATGCGATTGCATTGTGAAAGAAACGTTATGGAATCGTTCAGAAAAGGTTGATCTTCTAGTATATAAGTATTGGTGTGTACTGCAAGGTTCTGGAATCCTCAAAATGGTAAAAAATATCTGGTCCGGATAGATATAATAATTTACCAAATATATCAATTAGTAGGCGGTTTTCCAGCAAAATGTGTATCATCTCGTATAAGTAAAAACATATTCTTTCACATGATTAGTAATAAGAGCTTCCATTTCATTTTTGTCTCGCCTGCGTAGCAAAAAGCGAGACATAGGCGCCGCTTTTCCGGTGACGGCGACGGCGACGGCGACGGCGTCAACGTCAAAAACTTAACCTAAGGTTAAGTTTTTGAATTTTTGGTATAATTTTTAAAGTATAAGTTCTTAGTCAATGAAACTTTGACTATAGGGTAATCAAGTATCCCCAATTATGTGAGTAGAATTTCAGATCACAAAGTCAAGGTCAAAGGTCATTTCAGGTCTACAGACTTGGACTATGTTGTAGCATCATCATCGAAAACTTAACCTAAGGTTAAGTTTTTGAATTTTTGATATAATTTTGAAAGTATAAGTTCTTAGTCAATGAAACTTGGACTATAGGGTTATCAAGTCTCCCCAATCATGTGAGTAGAATTTCAGGTCACTAAGTTAAGGTCAAAGGCCATTTAAGGTCAACAAACTTAGACTTTGTTGTGGCATCAACATTAAGATTTTCAAAATGCTTCTTCTTCATTATTTTTCAATCGATTTTGATTCTGATTGTTTCATATGATAGGGCTAGGAGGGGATTTAAAATTTCTACACAGAATCGTGAAATTCATTATCTATGCTAATTTATGCAAATTTATTCGAAATCACAAAAAAGGCTTCTTCTCCTTCATTTCTCGACCGATTTTGATTTGGTTTGCTTTATATCGTAGAGCTAACTTTGGTACACTAAACTTCTACACAGAATTTTGAAATTGTTCTCCATTAATTAATTATGATAATTTATGCAAATTTATTCCAAAAATAACAAAAATTGCTTCTTTTCCCTCATTTCTTGACCGATTTTGCCTTATCTGGTAGAGCTAAATTTGGAACAATAAACTTCTACACAGAATTGTGAGATTTTGCTCCATTGATTATTTATGGTACTTTATGCAAATGAAATGAAATTATGTCCCTTCCAGGGCATCAAATTTCTATTTTTTGACCAGTTCAAAAGTGTACCACATAAAATTTACGATATTTGTTGTTGTGAGATGCGGATGAGCGCTACGTCATTGACGTTCTGGTTTATCATATTGAATTGCGTTATGCAGGCGAGACCGCCGAGAGCATTTCCCTTGTTTGAGAGGGGGGAGCGTTTCCAAAACGTTTCCTTTAAAGGGATTGGGTATCCTTGCCCCAGATTGTGAACAAAATCCTGGATTTAGCTCATGCTGCAATCATAATTATAAACCTTTAGGTCAGTCAGGGATCCCATGACTTTTACAAGTCGATTTGTAAAACTGGAAACTTTGTTAAAAAATGCCTTGGTAGAAAGTTTGACCGTATTTCCAACCGTTTGTTGTTGACCCAGGCATGTCGGAGAGGCCATAAAGACGTTGTGAGGCTGTTACTGGAGTATGGTGCAAACTGGATGGTGACAGCACGAGATGGCTCATCGGCATTGGGCTTTGCTCTTCATCATAACCAGTGCAGTGTTCAGGACATGCTTCATGCACATGTACAGAGGTATTTAGTATAGCATCCTAGACCTGTACCCCTAAAAGATAATCACCTTCTTGGACAACTTTAATAATATTCCGTTCTTATATACCGCATAATACATCATGATATAATGTCCCTATGTGCTTCCATTGAACTTTGGAAATTATTACGCTAACATTAGCTCCGGCAGCCGTTATCAGCACACTGTGCATTTCAAGGAGTAATCCTACCAGATACCCATTTACCTCACCTGGGTGGAGTGTGGCAAATGTAGATAAATGTCTTCCCAGAGTGCCATTTAGTGTTGTAGCATGGATTTGAGCCTGTACCTTGTGGTTCACAATCTGGAGACTTATCCACTGGACCCCCAAACCTCTACATCTCTTTGAACTTGTCGCATAGTCTGAGGTTCTGAGAAAACTTCCCCAAGTACAGTGATAAGCCTTTAGTTAACAGTAGTTACAATTCTTTAATTGACTATAAACCTAGTTTCTTCTTCCTCCACCACTATAACTGAACAACTTCATGCTCTTGTACAGGGGTTAGATGTGAAATATGATGACTACTCGTCTTACCTTCAAATTAATCACCTTTCACAACTACTTCTGCAATCCAACCCCCTAGTATGGTTTTATAAGACAATATATGACGCAGTGTTTTTTATGGTGATGTTAAGTGTAATACGCTTTACTTTTCTATTATAAAATAGAGCTCAATGAATATGTGCAAGTCCTTTGTTGTGCGCATTTGCCATTCATTTACATGTTAAAAAAATGTACTAGGGCAATCGCCATGTTATGAAACAGGGAAAAAATTCATATTTATTTTTCGGGTGCTACTTTTCAACCTTGCCTGCATGAAAATTAACATTCTAAAATTTGTTTTGCATTGTACTCTTTGCAAATTTAAGGGGGCTCTTTTCTGCATTTCGGGGGCTATTTCGCCCTGAGCCCCCTTGTATTTTTTCACTGTCATGAGGCTTACCTTGAAAAACATGTCTTATTTCATTGCACAGGTTATGCTGTGAGCTAGAAGCCATGGCCAGCCAGTTCCTGTACGGCACAGCTCGAATCCTCAAGTCTGTCTTTCCGCTGCACTGCTACAGACTAAGGGAAGCTACTGAACACGTGGCTCTTGTATCATTTGACGCCAATAACTACTACTGCTACCAAGGTACTCTATGCCACTTTCTTAACTGTCTACATTATCAATAACTTCTTTTCTTTATAGTTGGTTGTTAAAATAAATTTGCGAGGTTATTCGGTACAGGGTTTAAAAACAATATGTAAATTAAGCATTATGTAAAATTTGATCACTATAATAGACCAGTTCACGGTTAGCACATTACTGCAATGACCCCGAATATTCACAGATCTTCAAAACATGAAGAGGTCCCACTTTGTACATTTTGAAATAATCACTCCTACAGCGATGGAGGTGCTACATAAATAGCCTTTGTTTACCCTTTTCAAAGAATACTTCCACCTGTGTATCATGGAGTGCATAAATGAATAATGATTACATAACTTTCATGAGCACGTTTCCAGTATTTTGTCTCCGTGTATTTCACAATTTGTTCTGCAATGACCTGTATCTGCTCATGCGCAGACTGCAACCGTGAACTGGCTTATTGTAATTGTTTTTATTGTTAATATTGTTGTTATAAGTAGTATTAGTAGTACTAGTAATACTGTTTCTATTATTATTATTGTTATTATCATTAATATTATAACTATCAATAATATTGTTATTACTATTGTCCCTATGTTATTAATATTATTGTAATTCTTATGTATTTAATATCATTATCAATCTTATTTTCCTTAAAAATTGATATTGCACAAAACATGAGGCGTGATTGCTAGTGGACTCGTAACTGAGAGGTCCCAGGCTCGAAAACAATTTGACGCGCTTGTACCCTTTGGTAAGGCATTAATCCTCCCTTGGAGAGGACTTACAGCCGTCCATCCCCTTGGTTACTTCTTACAGGCATTCACACGCTCTCTTAGCAGTCTGGTAAAACAAACCAACCAACCAACATACCTTCCTGTGTGTGTATTTAACTTTTGTAGGTGATAAATATAATAATAGGCATTTATATAGTGCCATCTATCTAGAAAGTTCTATTCAGAGGCACACAAATTAATTATTACCCGGCTTTAGCAAGGCTGCCATTACAGAGCTCTAGCATTTCAAGGAATTATTTCCTGCCAGGTACCCATTTACCTCACCTGGGTCGAGTATGGCAAATGTAGATTAAAGCCTTGCCAAAGGACGTTAGTCCGGTGTTGGGGATTGAACCACGACCTGGAATTTCAAGTCAAGTTATTAAACCACTCGACTATGACACTTCCAGGTAGTGGTATGCTACCTTTTTTTTGGTTTTTTTTTTGTATTAAACATGCCTTCTTGTGTGTGTATTTGACTTGTATAGGTAGTGGTATGCTACTCTTTCTTGCCCAAGCCACACTGGGTCCAGGCTGGAGCATCAGCTGCAAGCTCTCTGGGTCCAGTTACATCAAACAAGTCCTACTCAATGGAAGATATCTACCTCAACTAACTCAGGTAACTATGCATCCTCTCTACGTCAAGCCTTAAAGCCCCACTGCACTACTTGTAGCTACTTGGGCCCTCTATATAGCCAACAATGCCTAAGCTGTACCCGTAAGTCCCCCATGGTTCCCTTTTTCTTATGTTAATTGGTAGCTGATTTGATGAGATAACCACCTTTCAGTGACTATGCAGGGAGGTCTAACCCCTTCTGGCAAAACTAGTGCAGATATGCTTTAACTAGAACTTCTTTGATTCAGATGGTTTGTCTACTACCCAATTGGTCTATTCCCATATGGTCTACAAATGGTTCGTCTACTACCCAATTGGTCTATTCCCATATGGTCTACAAATGGTTTGTCTACTACCCAATTGGTCTATTCCCATATGGTCTACAGATGGTTTGTCTACTACCCAATTGGTCTATTCCCATATGGTCTACAAATGGTTTGTCTACTACCCAATTGGTCTATTCCCATATGGTCTACAAATGGTTTGTCTACTACCCAATTGGTCTACAATTAATTTAATCAGAAATAATAATCATCATCAGATGATTGTTAGACCTTATGGATGGTAGACGAAATGGACATTAGACAAGCTGGGAATTAGACCGACCAGAAATTACCGCATGTATCTTTATAACTAAACCATCTAAATTATCAATATAAACTTGTATAAATCATATAACAATTTTCTCATATTATGCACCCCAAGTACTCATCTTTGTACATTAACTCAAACTAGGCAAATCTTTGTTTACATTCTTGCATACGTGTACCTTTCAATCGCATGCCGTAGTGTACATTACATAACAATAACATTCGGTATGTGAGCTGACCGTCTCGGCTACCGTTCAATGTAGGTTACATCCATGTAATGTACACAGCGAGTTAGGTGCGAATGAAAGGTACTTAATCATAGAATATCGCATCATTACAGCATTTATATACAACATTCATCACATTGCATCATTACATAGATTCATTCTGCCTTCTTAAGTGCATCTAACATCCATATTACACAAGGATGCCTCCAATATCAACAGATTTCATCCACTGAATATCAAAAAGGGTGCCATTTCTTCACACAAATTTAGTAGCCTCCAGATGGCGCTAAACATAAATATAATCAATCTACTTGATCGACTTAATAAAATGAATTCATATCGATCACTGAAACAAAGTCCATGTGGATAGTAGACGAACTGGTTGTAGACCAAACAGCAATTGACCTGGTTTGTCTGGGGTATACAGAAAACTCATTCTTCACAGAGTGACGTGTCAACATTACTCTTAAAACCAAATCATTTTGCAACATAACATTTTTCAAAATTGCTGTTAACGGCAGTTTTTTTTAAGTTTGAAGTTTGAAGTATTATTTATTCCACATTTTACATAGAAAAACAGTTTATATTCTCTCTTTTTTTATACAGGCGTATATTATTATAAGAATAGATTTCACACAAGAAAAAATATATAAAAAATTAGAGATTTTAAATCAAATATAAAGTACAGAAAATAAGTACGAAATTTCGAAATATGTATATATATAACAGGCTAGGTAGAACAATGTAAAATGTGGGGAGCCTAAATAAAAAGCATAGCTTGTATGTGAATAGGCTCCCGTACTGAGTAACACAATATAGTAGGTCTGGATTTATAAGGTAATAGGGACTTTTAGATTCGCACAAAGACAATACACAATACATTGCCAAAATTCAACGTTGTAAATCAATCAGGGTACAGTTTGAAACTAGACCATTCTCAATAATCTTGAGTGTATCCACAAAAATGTAAGTATACCTATTTAACTCTGAAAATTTGTGATTAAGCATTTATTTGCATGTTTTTTGTTTGTTTTATTGAATTTTTAGGGAAGCAATTTTGTGCTATCCTATACTCCTAGAAGTGGGCAGAATGTTCTCACAATCTCCACCGTTCCTGATCCATATACTAATGTAAGTGGCCCTGTCATGTTCTTACAAGTATTGTAGAACTGTTTAGTTGGCAATGTGAACACTTGTTCTGTAATGTAATGTAATGTAGAATTATAACTGCAAAAATGTTGTGGTTCCATTGAAATTTCATGTTTCCGAGTGCACAAATCACCCTAAAGGTTTTTAGTAATTTTTCAAAAGTAAATACACATGTACCATTATTAAATTGAATTGAATGTTCATGCATATTTAGTTGTACGTCATAAGATGATGATAATGAAGATATATGATGTAAAGTAATTCATATTTCTGTACTGTGTATGAATCCAAAATTCAGCCACTATCTTTGAAGTAAAGTTTTTAAATAAATACCATTATTAAATTGAATGGAATGTTCATGCACAGTTAGTTGCACGTTATATGCTCTTGTGACAAATGTTCCATTCACAATTTTATGCACTAGATGAATTCCCGTTTAAATCTTTGATCATGCTCTATACGTTACCCTAACTCTTGCCCAAAACTTGCAGATAAAGGCCATCTACGGTCTAAGTAAGCCCACAAAAACCTTACTTAAGATTTCTTTGATTTTAGATGATGAATAGGAAGATATTAGTATTACTAAGCTGCAGTGAAGTTTTTTCCTCCTTAAGTGAAATATGAAACAAATGAAAGGTAGAACATTATTTAGATAGCATCCTGGGATGTAAATTCTCACAATGGAAACCTGTACTGCACATGTGTAAGGACTGTGAGAGTTCTTTTTTTTAAAGAACATCCACAGCTGTATTTCTGGAAACTTGTGCAATGTGTTTATGGATTTTAGTTACAAAATCTAAGTCTTATTTTTGATATTGCTAGTTTTTTACATGTATATATTTAAAAGTGTTATCCATTGTGCCGAACATGTAAACATGAATATTCCAGCCAAGGCTGTCCTTCATGTAAAATTGTATTTGTATGAACCATGTTTCTGCTATAATAAAAACCATTTTTTGAATTTGAATTTGAATTAGTCTACACACACACACACGTCTCCAAGTGAAGTGCCAAGATTATTGTTTTTATTTTTATTTAAATGATTATTATTATTATTGTTGTTGTTGTTATTTTTATTATTATGATGATTATTATCATTATGATTATTGTTAACATCACCATCATCATCATCATCATTGTGTGCAGACAGAATATAAGTTTGAATTTAATTGAATATCAGCAGTATGTAATCAAGAATGTATTGTTTCTTTTGTTTTTGACAGACTCTCCTGCTTGTTGGAGCATACACGGTCCAGATTGGATCCCATCACACTGCCATGCACTAGACTCCAGCAGCCAGCTGTTCCTTCCCTAATCACTGCCACACCATGCTAGTTTTTGAAGGGCTGTCCATCCTCGCAACCTGCTAAACCACTGTCATACAAAGCCTACGTGTCTTAATGTGGTAGATATGGAGCTGCTCTCCTTGCCTGTGAGGTGTTAGATGGTACAAAAAAGATCGTTCTCAGATCCATGTCAACTTTTCTTTATCGTTTTAGCTCGTTTTGGCAAAGGTTATGAACTGTTGAGAAAGTGTATATGATTTCAGGTACTGAGTGGAATGACAGAACACACATTGCGAAGTCCATATACATGTACTTAACTGGGTTACGATTAGAGATTATACATGTGGTGGCACATAACATGCATGATGAGAAAGAAAGTGGGAGAGATCGGTTCAGAATCTTGTTCATTATGCATGAGAAAGATGATCAGAACTGTTTACACTAAGTGGTTTTCGAGGAATATTAGCGTAGTTGATTTCAGTACATATGTCATTTTGATTGGCCTTTCAAGTGGAAACATGCTGGCTACACCTTCTTCTTGAGAGCTGAGTTAATGTATGTTGCCAATTTGATGATTCTGCTTTAGGTATTACAGATCAGATCAGTGTCAAGTAGAAAATAAATATTTTTGCTTTGGTATGAGCAGCGCATGCATAGGAACATCTTAATGTTTATCCGTTGAAAATGTGTTGTATTGCTGGTGTACAATTTGTTTGTTGATGGTAGATAAGAGAGGTCTATATGGTTAGTGCAATTGATTGTGTTTGAAACAACTCACTATGTATGCGTAGGAGAGAACTTTCACAAAGAGAGAAGTCACATGACAATCCAAGTCACATGACAATCCAAGTCACATGATGATCCAAGTCACATGATTGGCAGAGACCTAGAAGGGCTAGTATGTTGTCAGAATTTGATCACTTACCCTGCCTTTTTAAATGCCCTTTAAAGGGATGTGGTATCTTTGCCTCAGATTCTGAAGCAAAATCTTGGATTTAGCTCATGCTGCAATGATAATTATAAACCTTTAAGTCAGTCAGGAACCCATGACTTATACAAGCCGATCGCCTGTCTGGTTATCAAGATATTTGGAAATCATTATTTCAAAATTTGTTTTCCTAACGGTTTTTATAACACTACAGTGATTTTTACTTTTTTGAGGCACTTCATGATCATTTTGAAGCGTAATTTATTTTTAGGGCTTCAGTATATTACACCATATCACAGACACTGATAACACATAGGGCCATGTATTTCAGATTTAACATTGTTATACGATGCCTCTAATGGTTATTCCACTAAGTCTGGTGTCAATGACATAACGACCTTAATCATTTGGAGAATATCATCTCCCTTTAAATAATCAAGATCCTGATCTCCTACACAAGAAGAGAGTATGGAGTCCTAGAGCAGGTTGAAAGCCAAATTTACTGAAGGAAGAATTGTTTGCAGCAAATGTTTTGCCTGGTGAAGTCCGTTGATGCATTAAGGTTGATGTGAAGCTTCCTTTTGGTTTGTGTATGTTGTACAGGGATGTGAGATCATTCTATTTGCCAAAGATGTTGTTTTTGAAGCAACGTTGTTAGATGATGAAAACAGGTTTTGAAGCCGTCATGAGCTTTTTGTCTCTCTTTTATCATTTGTTTTAAAATGCAGCAGTGGAAGAAACGAAATGCAAAGAAAAGGAAAAACATGGAGATTAAGATACAAGGAGGGTGGGTATTAAATCGAACCGATAGAAGTCTGACAAAACCGTTAGATGTATCTGTTGCTCATGCTACAGTCACATTTTGATGTAAAGCCTTGCTAGAAGGACCACATCAGGGACCTATTTCACAAAGCCTTTTTTCAATGACAAATGGCAAAAATTAGTGACAAATCTGCTGATAACCAATCAGAAGCAAGGATTTCACTAGCTTATAACAAAGACAGTCATATGTCACTGATGATACGTTTTGTGAAACGGGGCCCTGGACCACATATGGCTATACTATGGGTATGGGACTTGGCTATCCTGTAACCTTTAGGCCTTCTGTGTAGAAGTTACAGGGCCTACCTTGTGCATTCTTCAAGACTGAGTGACAAGTTAACACTCCAGAATTTCACTGTGTAAATCAGGTTTGTCCACAGTCAAAGATATCGTATACCACTGTCTTCATAACATAACCAAGACCAGGGGCCCATTTCACAAAGCCTTTTTTCAATGACAAATGGCAAAAATCAGTGACAAATCTGCTGATAACCAATCAGAAGCAAGGATTTCACTAGCTTATAACAAAAACTGTCATTTGTCACTGATGACAAGTTTTGTGAAACACCCTCCAGGTGGAAGTAACTGAAATGGGTAGGGGGAGAAACTAGGAGTCATTTTATATAGCTTGACCGATGTGTAAAGGAACTTTTTGACTGCACTAGCTGCATCTCAGAAAGCAGAGAGAGAATTATAGTTTTCCAGAAACAGTAGCTACCAATTGAACCAGGACAAAGAATATCTTTAGTTTAGATTATGAAATATATTTCTTTTTCAGAGTATACCAGTGGGAATGAGAAAGTTCCCTTCAGAGAAAAGATTCTGTATTTTCAGATAACTAACGTGAAGAGAGAAAGAACTAGAGAAGAAAGGAAAAGAATAGAGAGAGAGATATATATATATATATGGAGATATATAAATAAATATATATATAGACTATATATATGTGTGTATATGGATAGAACCAATTTAGTCTAAAAAATGTAAGCGTTGAAGGTCACAAGGAGAAAAAAAGAAAGCAAAGTTTTGAAAGTTTTAATTGTACAGATGAAAGTGATTGTATATCGGTATACTTGCTAGAAGAGAAAGTGTTTGTTCCTTTGTTTGTTATTGTGATAAAGCTATGATCAAACAAACTGCAGCGTGTTTCATTGTGTGTGTGTGTGTAGATGTGGGGAGTGGAGTCGCGCGAGTGTGCATATTGATTGGTTCACAGCATGTTGTTCTTCAAATGAGTAGTATTAATGTTCTTAGTCTTTGGCTTAGCCTCAAATCTCTAACTAAGCAATGTTAAAGATAAAGTTGAGTTCTGGTAATGCGATTGCATTGTGAAAGAAAAGGTGTGGAAAGGATCAGAAAAAAGTTGATCATGTAGCATGTATTGGTGTGCACTGCAAAGTTCTGGAGTCATCAAAATCAAAATACATTTGGCCCAGTCTTGGTAAAGTAACAAGCACTGTACACAGAAAGATGTATATGGGACTACACAAATGGTGTCGGGGCTAGCTTACCTTGATTTCCTTATCTTTCTATGCTCTTTACTCAGCCATTTTACATTTTCTTCCAAAATTGTTTGGCACATGACATTTATTTGTAATCTTGAACAATCAGTGTAAGTTTTGTTTGATTCTGTACGAATTCATTTCCTTTTTTTTTAAAACCAGAACTCACCTTTATCTTTAATTGAGGGGCAATGATGAGTTGCTTTTCAATGGGTAGTTGTCCATTACTGTACAACTAAGGAGTGAATGGACATCTTTATAGACAACTTTTGAAATGTAAAAGTTGAGAGGATCCTGCTATAGGGGAGCTGGGGGTGTAACTGTTTCACAAAGATCCTAAGTTGAACTTATCTCTAAGTTGGACTTAAAAATTATGGAAAGCCATTAGCATCTATGAAAATATTTAGTAAAAGTTATTTTAAAAGGCATAAAATGTTGATTGAAATCATTCATATTTTCTATTATCAAGGAGATTTCATGTTCTTGATGTGGAATTTATAAAACGACTAAAATACTTCAATTTTCGCTTTTGAATATATTTGATTTTAAGGCTACAAATGGCTCTCCATAATGTTTAAGTCCAACTTAAAGTTAAGTTCGACTTGGATCTTTGTGAAACACCCCCCTGGAACCGTATCCAAAGCAGAAGTACCACATACAGAACTGTCCATGAGCAAAAGAGAAACTTATGAGAAAGGTCAACAATGCATACATTTCCTTCAATTGTAAATTGTACCCCAGAATTATTTCTCAAAGTCAATACATATTTGGTTCTTTTTGTTCATTTCAAAACCTGTATAACCCTGCAGTGTTGTTCCTGTCACTGAATAGCATACTGGATATGATGGACAGTGGTTATTTTTACAGTAGTGCCTGCCAGATTGAGACAATATCATAGTGTAATTATGTAGATACCACATGCAAGATATCTGAACGTCAAAAGGAAGTCATTTCTTACTTCCCCCCTCCCTCTGTCTTATTGTAGTTTTCAAAGAGACAGAAAAATAACCAGTGTTTATTTTGCTGCAAGAAAAGGGTCAGGTATTTATAATGCAACGATCTTTAATACAAATATGCAACATATCCATTATAATGTAACCTACAAAATCATTTTTTGATTTTGTAATTATATAACCATTTTTTGTATACATGTATATGTATAGTAAGAGCTTTACTGTTTAATATGTCCTTATGCCATTACAGGGTATTAAGTTATTTAAGATGATGGTATCATTTAACCTTTTGTACAAATATTATTATCCTAGTTTTCTTAACTTCTTTCTTATTCTGTCTGAATATACCTGAAAACCTTCTGAATTCAGTAACTTCAATGTAATGCAGTCTGTTCTGAAAGTTTTATGAATCATCTTTGTGTGTGATTTGAATTGCTAAGACTAGTCCACTGTAGATCATACCTAGTTGTAAAATTCGACAAGATTTTTGTCCAGAGAAAATATTATAGTTATCAGGTAATTTGATATAACAGTATCTTTATCTCCCTTTATCCTTCCCTGAACAAGAAAACACATCTCAGTATTTTAAAAAGTAAGAAGAATTCAAACATGCTTGAGTACTGATATGCTGCCATTTTTTATTGCTGTACAGTGAGAACAGATTGTAATTATTCTATAGAGATCATTACACCCTATGTGCATGCTCCTTAACATTACCGCTAAAATATCATTTTGTTATAATTATGTTTTCAATTGCCAAGACTGAGTGTAGTACATTGTATGTACATTTTGTGTTGTATTTTATACATATTTTGTGTTTGAATACAAAGAAGTAATCAATCAATGATTGCAATTTTTTTAATTTTAAAAACTTCT